TTTATTGTTATTATTATTATTTTTATTTTTTGTTTTTTGGGTGGGGGGCCTTAATTAATTAATTCGAAATACCTGCTTGCCTCTTCTACAACTGTATCCTCGTACACCATGATTATTTTTTTTCTTTTCTAAAAATGTTGGTGGAGAATGCTTGTTTGCAGCTTGAACACTATTGTTTAAGTTGACCTTTAATGCTAATGTCTACGTATTATAGGCTATTTTTAACTAGACATGCTGCTACAAAGCAGGGAACAGCCTTAAGACTTGTAAGAGTTGAAATATATATATATATATATATCTAAGAATTCGAAACGAATTTGTAACTATTAAAGCGAAGAAAACATAAAAGCGAGTTTTCAGAAATTTGAACAAGATTAGCCTGTTTGAGAGGAGGGTAGCGGAGGGGGCAATTTAAAACTGTAACGTGAGAAATAAAAAATAAAAAAAGACACGAAGGGCTATAAAACGACACGAGAATCATAGAATTAAATTTACCTTGGTGAAATTTCCGAATGTAGTCGTAGTGAAGACACAAACCTTTTGACGTTGACAAAAATAACCGTTCAACGTTGACACTTAGTGGTGGCACAAACTGGTCTGTGAGGACACACACAAAAAACCCTATTCTATGATATCACAAACTATTCTGTGAAGACACAAACTATTAAATGATGACACAGTGGTACAACAAACTTTTCACTATATTCGCTGATGACACAAACTATTCACTGATGACACAAACTATTCACTGATGACACAAATTATTCACTGATGACACAAACTATTCACTGATGACACAAACTATTCACTGCCGACACAACACACTATTCTGTGATGACGTAAACACTATTCTCTAATAACACAAACTACACTTTAACGATACAAACTATTCTGTGATGACGTAAACACTATTCTCTAATAACACAAACTACACTATAACGACACAAACTATTCACTGGCGACACAAACTATTCACTGGCGACACAAACTATTCTGCGATGACACACACAAACTATTCTGCGATGACACACACAAACTATTCTGTGATGACACACACACACTATTCTGTGATGACGTAAACACTATTCTCTAATAACACAAACTACTCTATAACGACACAAACATTTCACTGGCGGCACAAACTATTCTGCGATGACACACACACACTATTCTGCGATGACACAAACTATTCACTGGCGACACAAACTATTCTTTTATGACACAAACTATCCTCTGGCGATACAAACTATTTTGCAATGAATACAAATAATTCTGTAATGAGACAATGGAACAACAAACTATTATGTGATGACATAAAATATTTACTGATGACACAAAAAACTATTCTATGGTAAAAATTGGGAAATGGTATAGATTTAACACCCCTATCGATACTGTTAGGTCATTTAAATGGCGGACCTCCGGGTTTAACATCTCCGAAATGACTGAGCTAAAAGGGAAATTCGTGTAAAGTGCCTTTCCCAAGGACACAACGTCGGACCAAGCTGAGGCTCGAACCCCCGAACATGTAAACAAACGATTACAGGTCCAGTAGCCTAATCACTAGGCTACCGACGCCAGAAACTATTCTATGGAGACACAGTGATACAAACAAACTTTTCACAATATTCACTGATGACACGAACTATTAACTGATGAACACAACAGAATATTCTATGATGGCACAATGGCACAACAAAACACTTTAGGACGACACAATGACACAAAAAACTATTCTGCTATGACACAAACTATTATGTGATAACACAGACTATTCTGCTATGACATAAACTATTCTGTGATAACACAAACTATTCTGTTATGACACAAACTATTCTGTGAGTACACAAACTATTCTGTTATGACACAAACTATTCTGCTATGACACAAACTATTCTGTGATGATACAAACTATTCTGTGATAACACAAGCTATTCTATGATGACACAACAGACTATTCACTGATGACACAAACTTGTCACTGATGACACAGCAAAATATTCTATGATGACACAACAAACATTTCCGTGATGACACAACAAACTATTCTGTGATGAAACAAACTATTCACAAACTGCTGAGTGAGGTCCGCGAGGAGCCGTAGAAGCGGCGTTCAGTCCGCTTGTTGTAGCGAGCAGCAAGCTTCTGAGACCGGACCTGTACCTCCCGGTACCCGCTTACTTCCCTTCCTCCATCACCGCGCGCGGTCCAGACACACGCGCAAACGCCGGCGGCTGCATGACGTCATCACGCTCACCCCCTGGTCATAACTTGCCTGCGTGAGTAGTGAGGGTGTGGATATGAAGAGGGGGGGAGGGGGGACCAGA